TATTAGAAGCACATCTCTGAAATAAAATCTTGTTATAAGAAAAAAAAGTTATTTATTTTAGCTGCAGTAAATCACAACTGTGTAAATCTGTCATCTTGGTTTTCTGCTGCTGTCAGAGCTATAATAAAACTCTTATTTCAAAATAATTCTTATTTTATGAATCGTGGGGGATTGAAAAATGTTCAAAAAAACAAAATGACATAACAAAGGCTCCAACATATTCGATACAGGTACTTTCAAAAGACACTAAAAACAATTAACAATCTATTCCTAGTACATACATGTATATGTAAATAACAGACATGTAACATTTTTATTTTATTTTAATAAATGCAATTTTTGATTGATTCGTACTTCTTATAGAGAAGATAAAGAACTTTATTCCATAAGACGTTGCTTATAAAAAAAAGAATGCATCATCATCCATCTCTTTCACTTATATAAATGGTGAAATATACATGTAAGACGGCATAAACAGACATTTTATCATTGCCTAGAAATTGTATGCAGTAAATATAGCAAATAATGTAAAAGGTTTAGTTATTCACTGGGTTTTAATTTGGCTGACTGGAAAATGCGCTAAATTAAAACCCAGTGAATATGTAAAATTTAGCTTAGAACACATTATCTAAATGATAAAACCGTGAATTTAAAACCCACTGAATATGCCTGAAATGGTAAATCAGTGAAATTTAAACCCAGTGAAAATTTGTCATTTTACAGTATGTTTGCAGTAACACAGAGCTTACTCTATTACTCTACTCTTAATCCATGTAAAACCAGAGGTACATTACTTGGGGTTTGCAACTACGGTGACATGATACCAAGATCCCGTTTCAATCTCACTCTCACATAAGCGTTCCAACTCATAAAAATGTGAATGCACATGCCCGAGGTAACTTGGATACTGGGATGTCCAGGTGGATCAAAATAGCTGCTCACAATATGACGGATTACGATAACTATATTTTCTGTACATTTTCGATGTATTACATTTTTCCATTATGAATGTGGTAATACATGTTTTATTGTTTTATTACAAACCGCCTATGTCATGTCAGAAGGTCGTAGCATCAGTCTCGCTATCTACGAGATGAGACTTGACTGGAATCTTGACATGATGTCACCATACAGTACTGTGGGCGTTGCAAACCCCTTGGAAGTAATGTACCTCTGATATCACTGAGACAAAATGACCTTTGTTACAATTACACTATTTTACTGAGAAATAGAAATCATGGTACAGCATTTGAAACACATTGAACAAACATGTTGAAATTTTTAATGCATAACTTTACTTTTCAGTAAATTAAGAAGTTTACTGCATGAAAAAAGTCCTTGAAAAAAAGCAATTACTTTTTGTTTCCATGTTCGAATATACTAACTTCTTTTTGAAGAATTAATCACATGATCTAATAACGACATTTGAATCAGACAACTTAACTTTTTACTATTTTTGTAAACCATCAAATAATTGTTCACTGAGGATCTCATGAAAGTTTACAGCATCATTTGGAGAATTTTATATATCTTTTTTTTTTTTAATTTCAGAAAAAAGTGGAGAATTTTAAAAGTATTGTTATGTTACCACACCATTCCGAGAAGATAGAAAAGTGCTATGTTTTGCAAAGGTAATATTTGAATGAATCAGTTAATCATACTTTAGTTTAGTGTTTTTATTCAAGCTCAAGCAAAATCATTACAAACTAAGCTAAAAAAAATGCATTTTGGTTCTGTTCCTTTGTGGGTCAGGTTGCCACTGCAATAGAAGTTCAGCACTTATACGGTTCTACAATGACAGTACCAAAGACAAAACTTGTTATCAGCGTTTTCACCAGGATACAAACAGCATGGCAGTGCTTTGTTTTACCGCCACACTGGTCACACCCTGCCACGGTCATTATACTGACTACCACAGTGCCTTGGCTGGCTTTTTAAATCAAAATGATAATTTAC